AGAAAGGGGAATAAAAAATAAAAAAGAGTGTGCAAGTGCTGGTGGCTGGGTTGAGCAGGAAGGAGAGAAGGAAGAAATGCAAAGGTTTTCTTTTTTCTCTTTCTTTCTTTATTATTTTTATTTTTATTTATTATTATTTTTTTTTATTTTTTTTTATTTTTATTTTTTTCAGTGGTGAGGGCAGGCAGGATGATAGCTGCCTTCATGTGAAACTGGAGCTACATCCAGGAATGGTATTTATATGCACGGATGTAGCTTTCAATCAGGATGATGTAAACACTGCTGCAGAATTTTTTGACCAGGCTGTTTGGGAAACGTGATGGATTAAATATGACAAACAAGATTCCTGGACGTTTATTTATCCGCCTTTTCATTTGTGCCAGTTTCATGTTAGGCAAGGCTCTGGCTACCAGACCAATACTAAGCCTTGGGGGCAGGCAAGGCTGGGGGGAGGGAGCCACAAAGAGAGTGTTTTCCAAGCCTCATCTAATTTAAAGCATCTTTTGCTGAGTGGTGCAGCGAAGAGGATGTGGCTAACACAAATAAAAAAATCATAAAGGGATCAAAGTGTGTGTGCAAATTCATTCCTTGTGGCAGGAGTTCTGCCAGTTTGCTTGCTCGCTTGCTCGCTCGCTTTCCTAAAAAATTTTGCTCCCCACCCCCAAGATGGAGTGAGCAATCGCATGTCAGAATCTCTTCTGGATCTCATAAGGGTTTCAGCATTGATGGATGGCCGGGATGACACCAGAGCCTGTACATTGTGCCTGAGATCTGAGCCACTTCCCCTCGGTCCCATGGTTGCACATGAGACGGTTGCATGAGCGCGATCTATTTATAAGTGTTCAAAGGCACCGCAAGCGCGGGGGGATGCTGGCTTGCAGCTCCAGGCCACCAGGAAGCTCCCTCGCACTTGTAGGAACCTGACGTTACCCGAGAGCCCGAGCGCTTCCAGGATAGCTTGTCTTGAAAAGGAAAACGAAAAGATAAAAGCCCCCAAACTGAAAATCTTTTGGAGTTAGGGTGATTCGTGTAAGGTAGCGTAAGGTGAAACAGTTTGGGTGGCTGGGGACTCCTATCGAGGTACCAAGAACAAAAAGGTGTTAAAATCACTGAGTGGGCAGAAATGATGATGTACAGTAAATCTCATCACCAAGGTACCTCTATTGCTGGGAGCAGGAGGCAGACAAGCTGCAGCCTTTCAATAAAAGCGACAAAATCTGCAGGGTTCAGGGTGGTTGCAGAGCTGCTGGAGCACCTCATGGGCCTCTGTGGGGTAGTCCTGTGCTTCTTTGCAGTGCTAGGTGAGCCCCAAGAGCCCCACTACAGGTGTGGTGCCCACCTGTGAGCTTATATTTGCCTTCAAGGCAGTCATTGAGTCCCACACCAGTTCTCCCAGTTCAGCAAACTCATGCTGCTCTGGAAACCACATGGCACAGTAAGGCTGTGTTTCCTACGGGAGCGCTGGCCTGCTAGAATAACATCCGCAGAGAACAAAGGCGAAAAGCCCAGGAAAACCTAATGCTGGAAAAAAAAATCATTCTAAAAAAAACAAAGGGAACATGCCTTCAAAAATCCTGTGGCATTTATAATGAAAAATAAACATCCACTTGCATCTATATAGAAAGAAAAAGAGAATGAAGTCAAAGCGCAAGGTCTTGTTCTTATATTCTAGGAATTTTCTCCATTCAAGATTGTCAAATACTGCATGCCAACACTTGGGAGCATGACAACAGCATCTTTAAGTGCAATGAATCAAAGCACTAGAGTAAATTTTTATGGAACTCGAACTGCTATTCTTAGAAACCATCCAGAATCGAAAAATAAACAATCCATCAGGAAAAGAAATGTTCGAACTCACAGGGGAGATTAACTCTCATCTGAGTGGAAACAAAACCTCAAATGAGCCACATCGCTATTCCCACACTTAGTTAATTGCAGTATTGTTCAAGGGCAGAATCAAGTGGTTAGAAGTCTGCAGAACTGGATGGGGTAGATGATGTCTTAAAAAATAAACAAAAGAAAGGCATAGAGTCATAGTTTTTCCCTTATGGCTAGTTCCACAGATGTCTCTTTGCCAAGGCTTAGGACGGGAGTGTAAGGCTCTGGGAAATGAAGTCAGAAGTGCAGGAAAGAGATGGGTGCAACCTGAGATCAAAACTCAACTGTCTGTTTGGAGATGGCTAAGAGAGCCATCTGAACTGTCTCAAGTCATTTCTGATGGCAGACATCTCTGGCAGAGCAGGCAGAAGCACAAAGACCTCCAGCCATTGATACATAAGAATTCAGGCTGCGAGTGAGATACTCATGTAAGGAAGTTCTCGGCCAACCTCGCTCAGCTTTGGTGGGTTCTTCAGCACAGGGCATCTGCAAGTGAAGATTTGAAGTTTTCTCCTCTAAAATTAGTAAATCACAAGATAAGATTTTAATGCCAGAGCTACCGAGTGAAAACACACTACCTGTATCTAGCCAAAATAGTTGCTTTTAATGAAGAGCAGATGCCCATGCACTTCCACTGCATGGGAAAACACAAAACAGATTGTCCTCCGCCTTGTAGGATTCTGGTTTTCGGTTTTCAATCTGGTGCAGAAACTCTCCTGGTGCTGATGCACGTGGGGCTGAGCATGTTGGAGGGGTGCAACAGGCTGCCTTAGCTGTGGTGGGATTTATGTTGCACGTAGACCTTCCTTGGCTTGTTCTCTTGCACAGGAGCACAAGTGTCTTGGGACTGTTCATGGGATGGTTCCACCAACAAATGGTGGCCTGGGGGTCTTGTTTGGATGACAGTCCTTGTACTGATCTCTGCCATTTATGTTTTGGGGGGAGAAAAAACATACCAATAGGCTGAAAGGTGAAGATGCTCACTGGCAAATATTACCATGTGTTTACCCCTCTGGGGCTGCTTCAAAACATGAACATCCATGGAGCAGTGTTTTCTGCAAACAGACTAGCAGAGGGAAAAATCTTCACTTCAGACAAGATATCCCCAGAGAAGGAAAGAAAAACAAAAGTCTTTTTTTTTTAAATAAAACCAAACAAAGCTTCTTGGAAGACTCCATAAAACCTCATTAAAAAAAAAAAAAAAAAGCCTGGAAAAACAATTCACACAAAATAAGCACTGAGGGGCCTCTGTTACTTGCAGGTATATTCCCAGTTATTTCTTTTTGGATCACACAAACACCAACAAAGTCATTAAAGTCAGTTCTTTCTTTTTATTAGCAATAGTCATGGCTTGATGATTCAAACCACATTCAGTTTTCAGAAGGGAGATTTTGATCAAAGCATTTTTAAAATCAGATGAAAGAAGCATTATAAAAAATGTTCATGCAATATGAGCCAGGAAGGGGAAATGGCTGTCCAGGAGAAGAGCTGGGAATATATCAGAATATAGAAAAATAAACCGCAAAACAAGCTGATAGTAGGAATGATCATATAAACAGCATCACAAGTCAAAGTAAGATTTACAGAGGCTGTGTTTTTTAATTCCTAGGATGAAAAATCCAATTACCACTTGAAAATATGGTCGACTCCATCAAACCGTATGTTCCTTCACTGAGAGGGCATTATTGTTCTTACTTCAAATCTCTTCCGGAAGGCGACAGTGTGCCAGGTATGACAAGAATGGCAAGGTGTGACACATCTGCGTCCTTCAGGATGGGACCTTTCCTTCTCAGATGGCCTCGTACTGTTTTTCTAAGGTGGGTGGTAACTTGTCAGGGAAGCCTTCTTGCTACAAGGGAGTCCTGAGTGCAGGTAGAGATGAAGGTATGATAGCTGTGTGTGAAGCTGGAGGAGAGAGAGTGAAGAGGAGATTGTGGATAAGAAGGAGGGAAGAGATATGCAGAAATGAGACCCAAAAGACGCATGTTTTCCTGGCGAGGGACCATGGAAGGGATCCCAGCAGGCTGATGGGAAGCTTTGCTTTGCTAGCAGGACTCTGTTCATCCTTGTCTGGTGGTGGCTGGTGTGAAGGGCGTTACCCTTCAGCATCCAAGGAATGCAATTAAACACACCCTCATTTATCCTGATGGCCTTATACCCTCATTTTGGCAATGAGGATGATGCTGAGTGTATTGCATGTCCCAGCTCTAAGTGGGTATGGTTCCTTCCACCAAAAGGCACTGTTAGGGGGTTTCTATGCACTTTGGTATAGACATATTTGCTCTGGCTTTAAATGCAGTCACCCAGGTCCCGGAAGAAGTCTAGCCATGAAGCTCAATAGTGCCTAATTTATTCTGTCAAGAAAACTCCAGATACTGCCAAGAACTCGAGAAAATTAGTCTGCACTGAGCTCTGGGCTTTACTTGAGTCCCTGAACTGCTTTGTTTTTGGACAGCTTGGGTATCCCCATGCTTGGTTGCAATCTGCATTGGAATATTTGGGGGTGGTGAAATCAAAGAGTGTGGGCAGACGGCTCCCACTGGGACACGGGTGTGGCCGTCCTCAGTATCAATATCAACCCTCTCCATCTCCTCCCTCTAGGGAGGTCTGAGGGTGCTCCTGTTGGTGGAACAGCATTGACCGAAAAAATATTGCAAAGACAGGAAGACAAGATTTGATTTTTTCCCCAGTTTATCTCATCTTGTCCCTTCAAGAGCTGCTGCAGCTACAGCTTTCTCCACAAAAGAAAAAAAAGAAAAAAGAAAAAAAAAAAAAAGAAAAAGAAGAAAAAATAAAAAGAAGAAAAAAAAAAAAAGAAAAAAGAGAGAAAAAGAAAAAAAAAAGACTGTGTTCAGGCATATAAAACTCTCCACCAAAGCTATCATTTGCAGCTCCACGTCCATGCATTCAAGCCCACCTGTCAATAAAGAAAGACATATATAAATCACGATCACCTATTCCCTGGGACAATTTCCCACTCATGGATTTCCTCACCGTGAATTCAGGGAAGTGCCCTGCACAACCACCGCGGTGGTTCCTGCATCCACGGTCAGCTGCAGCACAAATTTCCGAGTTTCTGGACAAAATGTGGTGGTGGTTCCAGAAGTGCTTCTGGGTCTTTGTGCCATGGTCATGGCTAAAAAAATAATAATAACAATAACAATAAAAAAATCTCGATTTAAAACTCATGTCAACCACATTCTATGTATAATTTCTTTAAATGGCAATTTATTTCAGATGAATTCAAGAAAATCCATTCAGGACACCTAAAGATGATGGAAAGCTGTTTGTTTTTTAAACCAGTGATTTTTCCTGCAGTTTTGTAGTTACCAGCACTTTCAAAAACCAAGAATGATCTGAATGGCAGGTTTTGATTGTCCAGAATAAGTTTAATTTAAATTCAGTCTTTTGGGGAGAATTTTTGGGTAATTTTAAGCAACGATACATTAATACTTCAAGGAAAACTACAGCCTGAGCAGCTATAACCTGGCTTCTAGCTGAAAACCAATCTGAAAAAAAACAGTTTTTAGTTATTAAAAATATTTTTTTAAGTTATTATTTTTAATGCAAAGGAAAATATTACAGAGTGTGTATATATTTGGACATCTTTCTATGTTATTGAAAAGGTTTTTCATTGCTTTCAAAATCCTGTTTCCAAAGTGAGGTGCATGTTTCTGTGAGTTTAAGACAAACTAACCCCTCCTGTTACTTCTCCAAGCACCACCCATGCCAGACACTTTTCCAGAAAAGTTGTTGCCTTTCTTGAGGCAGTAACTTTACTCAGCAGATGTTTTCTTCTGTTCTCCTGAGCCCGACATGTCTCCTGCACTGCAAATTGCTAAGGGTGTATTGGCGGAAGCCAGCTGTCCAAAGGTACAATATCCAACTCTTTAGAAATCAAAAAACAACAAATTCATATTAGATTTACTCCCATTTTTTTTTTTTTCATCAAGTGAAAATAGAATGATCAGCAATTACAGGTAGAGTGAACTATTTTTGGTTTTGCTTAAACGAGAAACACTGCCTTATAGTTTTGAGCAAGTGAAAATTGCATTCAAAAACCAAAGCAAAACAAAATAAGGACATTCAAAAAGCAAAGGTGGCTGTGAATGGAAAATCTGTAATGTTTTACGTCAAAATATATGTCAGAAAAAAAGCCACATCCTCAGAATTTTAGGAAACATTTCTCATCTGAGTTGCTGAGTGAAACTTCTGCGAACTTCTACAAAATGCCCTGAGGTTTCTAGGGCTGGTTATTTTCATTGCAAAGTCCCTCCACCTAAAGCAAAACGCTTGGCAAAACTTCTGTTACGTAGATGTGAGGCAGAGGGAGATGGACTGTGCTGTAGAGCCGGCCCAAGTGACACGCTTTCATCACTGCTCTGGAGAGGCTGACGCAGCCCTAGGACAAGAGCCAGCAGCTCTATTTTAGGGATGGCTAAAATCAGATCATATTGTGCTTGGTTTTGAAATCGATGCACAACTGAATGCTACCTCACTGGCAGCCATGCAGCTGAGCTGTGAGTCCAGGGAGATATCACACAAATGCATATCAGGGCTGTGTCCTGAGCAGCTAAATGCTGGACACGCAGAAGGGAAGTTAATCATTAAACAGGGATCAGGCAAGCTCCTGAGGATGGAAAGCATCTGTGGAAGAACAGAATGTGATCTGCTGATGTCCACCGATCTCCAAATACAACCATTATTTTTTTTCCAGTCTTGAAATGAGCAGGCAACATATTAAAACATTGATATTTCAGGGGTTTTCTGCCATTTCCATGTTCCCTCTGTGGCACTTCTTGCTGAACAAAGGTCAAAAGAGCAAGGCATTTATGTACACTAGGGGCAGGAAGGGCTGACATGCTTTTCTTTCTTATTTTTCTTATTTTTTCTGGTTCACTTCCACAATCCTTTCTTCTCATGGTTGCCTGGTTTCTGGCTGTCCATTTGGTTTTCTACAGGAAAAGGGTTATCTGTCTCTGAATGCCTGTCTCTGACAGGCATTTTGGGTTCCAGATTTCCCTTTTGTTGGAGAAGTGGTTGTCCATTGAACATATTTGTTATGAAGCATGGCTTTCAGCTGACGACACAGCAGAGGGCAAACAACAAGGATGGGCTTCTCCTGAGATTATCAGATGTTTCTGTAGAGGCTGTCAGAAAAGAAAGCTGGTAAGGAAATAGGTGTGCATGAGAAAGGGAAGGAAAGCATCCCCGGGATCCGTGGAGGGGGCAGGAAGATTTTTGATCTGGTTGAGCCGCAGCAGGAGGATCAGAGCGGTTTCTTATTTCTTTTGAGCTTCTTGCCCATTCCTGATTTACGTTGCAGACATAGGGTCTGTTTCCTCTTAGGTATTAGCAGCAGAGTGCCCCTGTGTTTCTCCATCCATCACGGCCTGGCATGGCACGCACATGGCCGGGTGGCTGGGGGGAGAGGCAAAGCCAGCCAGCACAGAGCCTCCTGCAAACGCACTGCTGCTATTTGTGTTTTATTTGAAGAAATGATTAGAGTTTATTTTATTGCCAGGAAAGGCTGCCAGCCTTTATGATGACAAAATTGCTGAGTTTACTAGGAAGTTTATTTATATAGGCCTTGAAAGACAGACCCTGCTATGACAGACACCAGCGAAGACCTGGGCTTGCTGGCTCTCCTATTTCCCCTAACTGTTTTGCCGACATATTAACCCTTTACTCTGACAGGTTCGGAAGAAATGAGGGATTAAGAGCAAACATATGTACGAGCTACCCCTTCCTTCTGGGGAAACTGGGTATTCAGGAGGGTCTGGGCTTGAGACCCAGACCTGGAGGAACAAATGGGCTGGTATATGCTTGCTGCTGGTGCTGGGGGCCAGCCCCTGGCATGGTTAACACCTCCATGAGGACAGAAGACATCTTCATGGGAGGAGATTCCCCTCAAGTGGCCTTCTGTGTCCTACCATGGATGTCATCTCTGGGACAACTGGTGCCATAAGTCCTCTTGTGTCCCTCCACTGCCCCTGCTGTACAAATGGAACAGTTACTGCCACCACCACCAAAAAAAAAGGATTTTGGTGAGTTCCAAATCATGTGATGAATTGAGGTTTGGCAAGACAATGAGCTTTAAGGCAAAAAAATATATGTTTAAATTTTCCTAGGTGTCAAAATACTACACTTTGACATATTAAAAACGAAAAGGTTTCGTTTGGAAATTTTTCAAATGTTTCATTTTGTTGTTAATATTCATTCACCAGTATTATTTTCTTTTAAAAAGTGGTCCGACCTGGGAAGCTAGCCAAAACAGACCAGAATAAATTAAAACATAAGAGTTTTGTTTCACCTTAATTCCTTGTGTTTGTTTTGTTTTGGAGAAAAAAAAAAAAACAAAAACCAAAAAAAAAAAAACAACAAAGCAACAATCCTTGCTTCAGTTCTGTCCAAACTTTCTTCCATGTGGTCATCAAATGAGAGAAATCAACCTTCTTCCCTCCACACTGTCTTCACTAGCACCTCAGGTCCACTGCTTGGCCTGGAAAAAACAACTGTTATCAGGCAGTGGTGATGGCAGGCAGTTATCCTCCATGGACGAATGACAGAAGAGGACCCTAAACATAATTTACAAATATGTTACATCTACACAAGAGCGCTCTCTCTATCTTTCCATCAGCTCTTGCATCAATATCACATATGTGGTCGTGATATCCATTCCTTCGTTTCTGTTAACACCAGGTTTGAGCTCCTAATACCAGCTTCTAACATTTTGAACTTGTAGGCAGCTTTCAAACAGCTGCCATTTTTTAAAGAGAACCAGACTCAAACCTCCGCTCTTTTCTTTTTTCCTTAAAATGTGGAATTTCCCCTCCATAAAATTTTACTGACATGTGTGCTCAGATGGGCAACATTCAGATCTTAGCCAGAGACTTGTTTGGTGCTTCACAAACCGCCAGAGCTTGAAAACCACCAAGAAGATGTGCTTTCCTAGCAGGCTTTCACCCTGGGACATTTAGTGCATGCCCTCGTGCTGGTACAGCTGTGAAGCTTTATGAGCAGGGACGTTTTGTGACGTGCTCTCTGCAGCTGGCTTTTTCCCCACATGCCCTTGCAAAGTTGCATCCCTTGTTAAGTGAGTGTCTGAGATTTCCAGGAAAAGTAATATATGTAAATACAAATATATGTATATATACATATGTGTATATATATATATACACATGCATATTCATTCTTTCTTTAATAACCTTTAAAACTGATTTTCTGCAACATATGTGTATGCTGACTTCATAATGAAGTTATAGAAGGGCTCATTGCCCTTGGAATAGGTAGAAAAACTGGGACTTTTGAAATCTTGACCAGCTTTGTTTTTAGAGTAAAGTTTGGCTATTTTAAATTCACACAGAGCCAAGCTTTCAAAAAAAAGCAAAATACTAGCAAAAGAGAGAAAAAGAAATATGGGTGAAAAACAATGAGGAAACTTTTCTTCATTCTTTTACCAGCTCTGGTTGGCATTTGTCCATGTTACTCACTTACGGCTTCACAGGTTAAGATTTTATACCACATTACACCTGAAACTTAAGCAAGTACTTAAAGTTAACAGCTTTCTTGAATCATGGCATCTTTCTTTGAGAAGCTGAGCCCTCTAAGGTGCTGAGCTCTCTGGCTCCTATCCAGCAGAGCACTCAAACACCAGCTTACATTTCATTGTGCTCAAGAACAAATTTAAAATTAAGCATGTGCTTAAGTGCTTTGCCAAAGAGGAACGGGATTACTCACATACCAAAAGTTAAGCATGTGCTTAAGGTGCTTTCCTGGATTCAGGTTGGAACAATTGGGAAATAATGATGCTGTCTTTGGGCAGATTTTGAAAAAAATAGTAATTGGAAAAAAAAGAAAGTAATCTGTTTGTTCTGATGGTGGCAGAGTCTTCCACCTGAAAGTAGTTTTATCTAACTCTGTCCAGATCATGAGCAGTAAATAGAAAAGGAAGCCAAGTCTCTTGTACTTCCATAACTTCTGTTACTGCGGTGTTTAAATAACAGTATTGCTGGGCTGTAGGGTAGTGTTACCAGACACATCTGACTATATGAAGTGGACACCCCAAAGGGCCACAAAAGAAGTGAGTAAAGTGGTAGGTGGTGGTACACCGGGAGAGCATTTTCCACCTGGCAGGAGCACCGCCACACAGCTGACACGACAGCTTGGTTGGGAGGGAGGCATCCTGAAAGAGGAAGGACATTTCAACCCCTACCCGACTGTCCATATTTTAAATTTTCCATGTTTTCAGGTTGTTTCTCAAAGACAACCATACAGACAGGACTGAGGCAGGACACAGAACCCAAACCCAGCTTTGGGATGAGCTTGCACTGTAGCTTGGGACTCAGAATCATCTGTGGGATGATTTTCCCGTGAGGGAAAACCAACACAGCATCATTGCCTTGCCTCCTGCACACCATTAGACTTACCGGAGAAATAAAACCATATGTCTTTGCCTGTTACCAGAGAAGTTTGGACTATGTGGTTGTGACACACAAATGTAATGGTCTCAGGAAATAAAATGCTGTTTCGTTGGAGTAAAATGGTCAATCAATGTCAAATCTAGCCCAAACTCCCTGATGGTCAGAAATGGGTGGAGACAAGGCCCAACTGTAGAAGTGTAAGCCTGCTAACCCTCCTGGCTTTTTGGCATGGCTGTGACTGATATTACCCCCTCTCCCTTCCTCCCTCCCTCCCTCCCTGCCTCCTTCCCACATCCCTAAGCAGATCACAGGTCATGACCACATGTCACAGCGTGTTTGTTGCTGCCACTTACCAACAGACTTCTGTCAGGTATTTTAACTATTCCATCCACTGAAAAGTCTGGATGGAGAAAGGTGATGATGTTTGCTCATTACTTGGGAAATGCCCCAAAGGGTTAAAATGTCCAAGGAGATGCTTGCGAGCTCACATCTGTATTGTGCCATCTTCAGGGAGTCTGGCTCAATATCTGTTCCTTCACTCTAGCATTTATGGAGCTTTGTAGCAGGTAAAACTGAGCCCAATTTCCTCAATCTTCTGTTAGTGTTACTAAAAAAACCACCCCTAAATTAGGTCCCAAATTCCTGTGATCCTCATAGTGCTGAGCGGGGATGAATAGCTTTTGATAACAGCCCTGGATTTGGTGGTGTGGGGAGATTTATTTCCTGATCTTTTGCCCATCAAATCTTTTTCTGATCTTAATTGTCAATCACATTATATGATTTCTCCAGAGAAATGAAAATAGCAGCTATTTGTCTTGAAAATCCACCCTTTGATGTCAGAATTCCAGGAAATAAAACACCTTTATAGTTATGGGATCCAGACCTGTCTGACTGGGATGCATTTCCATCAAGACTTGTGTGGGTTTGTTGACTCGGGTTTTAAGGCACTCTGCATCTTTTATGGGGATTCACAATGGGACATTCATGGCACATGAGCAAAATAACATAGGCAGAGCCATTTGCCTTAAGGATCCCTTGCCTGAAGTGTGCCAGCCCTCCTCCATCCAGCATGGGCTTCCAAGGCAGTGCTCCCCAGCCTCAAGGAGTCCAGCCCTCACTGTGATGCTGACATAAGGTCTTGGAGGTTCAGACCTGCCCACGTTGGCCGTTTCCCTCAGGGCACTTCAGGCATGCTTTCCAACAGATTCTGCATCCCATGTGGAGCTGCTCTGCACACACAGATGTCCAGCACAGGCATTTCAAACCTCTACCTTGAAGGCCAAGCCTTGCCCAGCCTCTGCTGATGGGCTGGCACAGCACAGAGGCACTGCACTGTTACCATCCCCACCATCCCAGACCATCCTCCATCTGTATTAAGGGTTAGGATGCTGTCCACCTCTGCCTGGAGATGTTATGTCTAAGAAAAGTCAATTTAGCAAATTATGCCTTTTTAGAAAAAGTTTGTTATATCAGACTTTTTATCTGGTAGTTGTACTTAAGGAGTTCTTTGGCTGCATGCCTTAGGATTAAGATATGTGCCATGAATCTGGGGAAAAGATTCTTGTTGGTCTTTCTCATGGGAAGCTTTTCCCAACCATGTTGGCAGGGTGGAAGCACAGGTCTACCACAATGTGGGCATGACGTCTATGTGAATGTACATCGCAATACTTCAAACATCCCAACAAAAACGATTCTCAACCCTTACTCATGTTTAACTGCCCCTTCGTGCTGAAGCCTTTTCTTTCAAATGGAGATGTCCCTTTTGTCCTCTGCTCAACACAAACTGATCAGAATGTAAGCTTTCTTTTCATAACACTTAGAAAGTGTTTTCCTCTCCTAAGAAAGTAATTTGCTTCCTGACTTATTTTCTATTTTCTGAGCCATGGGTGATGCCTCCCCACATTGAAAAGTCCTCCCACTTACATGTACACCAACCTGGCCACATCTCAACCCTAAGCTAGACCTTTGCAGGCTCACTGCTATCTGCTGACCTTTTTCTTTCTATAGCCACCAAATCTGCATGATCCTGCAACCCTTTCCAAGATTTTATTCTTTCTTCCTTTGCTTTTTTGCTTTTTTTTTCCTTTTCCTTAGTTCCCAGTCTTTCAGCCTATCTTTCCTTAAGACATCTCTCTTTCCCCTCTTTCCAGCTGAAACTTTCAGTTTTCATTTGGTTCTTCCCTTTAGCTTTCTCTGGTCCCTTGTTGTGGTTGGCTTGGCTGTGGATCCAATTTTCCCTGCTCTTCCCTCAGATTCTTACTTCTCCACCACTAAAAAAAATAATTAGTCACAGGGCAAATTCCCCATGTTGGCTTTGCAATGTGGATCACCTTTCCTCCTTTTCCTCCTTGAATCCTCTGGTGCCTTCTCAAATTTGCAGGCTATTCCTTCTTCTTTTCTTTCCATTCCACCAGCAATTAATCAATCAATCTGGCAACCCAGGACCTATTAAAAAAAAAAAAAAAAAAACAAAAACAAGAGAGAGAGAGAGAAGTAGCTGAAGGAGAAAAGTGTTGGTTAGCTCTCTTGCTCCCATTACGTGTCTGCTTGATACTTAGACCTCTCCAAAAGCAAAGGACCCTGGGACCTACTTTTTAAAAAATGTATTTACAAAAAGTCCTCTGGTGTTCTGAGCCTGGCAGGTAGCTGGAGGAGGTGACGGCATTATTTTCAAAGTCGGCATTCCCAAGGTGGCGGCTTTAATGAAGAGGAAGCCGATTTATTGCTGAGACAACATTGTTCCCTCAAGTAAAGCCAACAAGGGTCATTAGCACTTCATATATTTAGGTGAGTGCTGTTCAGTGACAGACAACCCTGCAGGTTTCTGGGGGTTGTAGTTCAGCCTCAGGAAAAGCCTGCTGTCAGATGGCAGCACGAGGGACAAGCAGATGCCAGGGAATGGGGCCTGGCATGGTCAGCAGTGCAGGAAGGTGCATGCTGTATCCTGCCGTGGGTACTTGATTTCCACCTCATTTGTGGCTGGAGGCCAACAAGCCTGACCTGGGCAAAGTTTGGGGTACGGCTGCTGGATCCACACAATGAGCCCTGTAGATTGGAGCTGGCCATTGCATGCTTTCTGCCTCAGCCAGCTATTAAAACAGCTGATTTGTAAGCCACTGAGGCATGTAATGTGATCAGCTCAAACCTGTCTAAATTCATCTTATCGGCCTACCACTCTGCCCCACTCATTTCCCTGCCTACCTTCTTCTGCCTCCTCTGGTCCTTCTTTCCTCTGTGCCTTGCAGATGCCCCACTTCGTGGTGCTGCTCGCTGCCAGAAAGCTGTGTCCACATTCATCCTGCTTTATCACAGCGTGTGTTTTACTGGAAGGCAGCCAGGAAAACCGTGGCTAAGAAAATTGCTTGCTCGTTCTTTCTAGGCTGTAGGTTTTGTGGCCAGAAGGGGACACTCACCTGGTCTGACTGTCCTACAAGAGGAGGCAAGAAAACACCTGGGGCTCTGCATCAGCTGGAGCCTGTTGCCCAGGCAGGCATTTACTGGGGATGTAAAGCCTCCAGCCTTCCAGAACCAGAGTGGTGCAGCCAAAATTGCAGGGCTCTGGGCCCATCCAGTCACCTTTGCTGAAGTGATGCTGCTTCCAGGATGTGTGCTCTTTTCTCTCCATCAGCCTCTGCAACAAGCAATTGAGACATCTTGGCTTGCCCAAAAGCTGGCTGGCAGATCCAGCTGCATGGTGATGAGGGAGCTCAGAAAAACAAGGTCTTTACCTGCTGCTTCCATGACCTGTCCCTGGTGATTAACTGCTTTCCCTTAAAATCAGCACTTTATTTTCAGGTAGTGCTCTGCTGATTTTCACCTCTTGCCAAAAAGATCTCATTTTGCCTTTGTCTGCCAAACTGGAGATTTGAATGCTGGAGAAGGTGATTATGTATGAGCTGAAAAGAGGAAAAAAAAAGCAAAACCAAAAACCGACCAACCCGCAGTTCCTTGTGGCACAAGTATCTCAGCCTGGGAAACCACATTTGAGTGTCCCCTGTGCCAGTGAGCAGGAAAGGGGAAAAAGGACTTCTCCCCTCCTAAGCCAACAGAAAAAATATTCCCAACACCTCACTTTGATAAGAAACACGATGCTCATTCTCCTTTAATTGTTGCAGAAAAGCATTACCTGAAAAGCCATTTCCTAGAGCAGATGGAGAAACAGGTATTCAAAATCAAGCAACTCAACTAGTAGAGGTGGTCAGGCATTTTTCTACTAAGGGGGCTTTTGCCAAGAGGCAAAACCATCTCAGAGAAACTGCCAGAAAAATGGTTTGAGCTCCACCAGTTTCGGTCAACACCAAAGGCTTCTTTCCCAGGGTTGCCCGTGGTTGTTTGAGGACATCCCAGATCAGGTGGGACCTGGCTTAGATCCCTGCCTGGGTGGTGGCAGTGGGTCCAGGACCCTCAGGATCCTGGTGGGTGTCCTGATTGCTCAGCTTTTTGGACTGCCCATTTTTCTCTGTGGCTGTCAGGAAAATGTGTAACTTTGATCCTCAAGTGGAGCAATTTTTTTTTTTCACTTTTAGGAAATACTTTTCACTCTGAGGGGGCTACAAAACTGTTTCTCACTTAATTCCACTAGCTTGAAAGGAGAGGAAAAAAAAACAACAGTTGAAAGGTTTGGGTACACTTCTGAACTTTTCTGAAGTCTTCAGTGTATTGTGACCTAGAGTTTTGGTTCAGCCCATTGCAAAGAGTTGAGCCAAGCACGGACTCAGAGAGGGAAGCTCTCAGAGATGAGAGCAAGGCAGCTCCAGAGCTTGGGGCTGGGCATGCAGCTTAAAGTCAGGACACAAAAACACGCATTCCCTCACTGCAGCCATTTATACTGAAATACCGAAAAGGTTAAATTCTGTGCTCGCAGCTGCACACGGAGTGGTGCCAGCATTTGAAATCTGGGAATAATTGATTTGTGTTTCCAGAATCCTTTTTATTGAAGGGGGAAGGGGAGAGAGAAAAATTGCTATTAAAATTTCAACCACCAAGCTTGGAGCATCTGTTTAGGTTGGCAGCAGCTGTCAGTCTGCCATGCAAGCTGCCCTGCTCTGCCATCAGTGCCACCAGGCACAGGTTGAAGAGACCATTTGGGGCCAGCCAGAGAGATGGCAGAGAGATAAAGGATGCATTTGATAAGGCTTTAAAAAAAAAAAGTTTGATAAAGCCAGAAGTTTATGGTGGAGAACCAGTCTCAAAAAGGGGTTAAAGAATCCCATTCTGTGGCTTTTCACCAGAAGACAGGTCTGGAAGTGGGTGGCAGAGCCCAAACTGTAAGACAGCCAGCAGATGACTTTCCTGACAAGATCAAAGCAACGATGCGGATCTGGAACCGGGTGCCAAAATTCTTGGATGTGTTTGAATTAAGCTTGTAGTGTTGCAAACTATCTGCAAGAATGGATCTGAGCACCGCAAGGCAGGACAGGCTCTCAAACACCTACAAGACCATCACTCATTGGAGGCTGAAAAACAGCTGATAGAGTTTTCATATAGGGTTAGTAGAAAAACAGGTTACATACTGAATGCTGAAGTCTTTTTTTTTTTTTTTTTCTCCAGGAAACACTATTTGCTTGTTCTTAATTGATTTGCTGAATATAAAGATGCTGTTCATAAGAGATTTTTAAAATGAAGTTCTGGAACTTCATTTGAAGTTCATTTGGAACTTCATTTGGAACTTCAAAATGAAGCCTATTATTTAATGTTTCCAAATCACTGAGCTGTTCCATTTTCTTTTTAATTTTAATTACTCCATCTTTCTTTAGAATTTGAGATTAAAAAACAAAACAAAACAAAACAAAAAACCACTTAAATTAAGCATCATAATTCATCTGAAAAGATTTTTTTTATCCACCTGCAGATTTCAGCTAGTGTTTTTGGTCAAATTCTAATTTGACTTGATATCAAAATTAGATTCTTTTTTGTTTCTGTTTACTTCCCTGTTCTCAAAAATACAAGCACTTCCTCACAGAACCAGTGGGAAACTTCTTTCCTGGTCAGTCCTCTCTGAGACCCAGTAATCATTTCTATCACTGCTTTCCATAAATCCATGAATCTGAAGTTAATCTTTAAACTTTTTCACAGATTAGCATTTATGAACACTCAGCAACAAGCCACACTAGATGGTTAGGAATAAAGTGTGCAGCTGTACGTTGTTTGCTTTTATCAGACTGTAAGTAGAACACCCTGTTGAGTTGCATCTTGTGGTACCTTTTCCATCACGGTTAGACTTTCAGAGAACATCTCAATTTAATTTAGCTTGCATACTCTGCACACGCAGAAGTTCTGCAGGGGACATCTGGTTTGCTGCATGTCAAGTTGCTCGGTAGTTCTGCAAGAAATCTATGGCAAATGAATCCCAGAGCTTTCCTCCTTTTGGTCTGGAATTTGAGTGTAGATTTTCAAAATTGAGCCTAATCTTGCACAGAGATATCTGATTCAAACTTGTCCACAGGATTTCAGCTCCAAACTTCTCAGGAATCTGTTGTGTTTCATTTGGATCTCCTTGAAGTAATGTTTCTCCCCAGAAGCGATCCCTCTCCTACACGGAGTCCAGAAGGAAATTTGATTCAAAATGATTATGCATTTTGTCAGTACATCTGGCAAGTAATACAGAATTTTATAGCCTTCAACTTGGGAGTCCATATTTGGCCACCAGGAGAGCTTTCTGAGCTTTTTATTTGATTCTGATGGTTCCTTGATGAAACTCATGAGCAAGAGAGATAGACTTGGCTTGAAGTTCTGGAAGGCTAGTCAGACTGTGAGAGAGACATCTCATCTCCACCATGGGACAGGAGCTCCCTGGGAAGTGTGAGAGGAGTTTCTCTCCCACTTGTTGCAATATGCATTTCTGGGTGGAAAAGCTGCTGCGGTGGGTTCTCGGGACAGGGCTACCACTTCTGCACAGCTGTAGAGCATCATTGGGATGATATAGTGAAGGATGGACTGTCATTTAATACAAACTGCATTACCCAGGTCCCTGAGAAGACCCTATAACGCAGGGTAATGCTGCAAGCAGCAATTTCCACTCCTAAATTAAGACATTACTCACTAGCCAAGAGCTACCTCCATCCCTCTACTGCTGGGTGTCGACAATCAGACCTCAGAAACTGATGAGGAGACTCAACCGAAACAACAAACTCCCTCAGCAGGGCCCAGGCAAACTCCCTGTTAACTGGATCCCAACACGTTTAAAATTTATCATCGATAATCGTTTCAGCGAGCAGCAGTTGGAAACGAGCACGGCCAAGGCACAGCGTGGAGCGGCAGCGCTGCGTGCTCGTAGCGGCGACGCGTGCACTGTAATGCTCTCCGCGTTCACAGCCCCCTCGAGGCAGCCGCGTGGCAGGTTGGGGCTGAAATACCGGATCGCATTGAGAAGCAGGAAAAATGAAGCAAAGAAAAAGAATCGGAGCGTTTTCTTCCTGCTGGCACGTCAGCTTTTAGGCTTGAAAATGAAGTACACACCTTTAAAATGGATACATGCGAGCCTACTGCTTGGAAGAGGAAATGGATTCAGCACATGCTGGTTTGTGCTACCAAGGCAAGCATGTTCACAAAGCTCGCTCCTAACACCCATGAGGTCATCCACCTTCATATTACAGTCCTATTTTGGTACAAATGACACCGGGAGATACAAGCCAACACAGGCTGAGTAGATGTATTGGAAAAGCAGAGAGGGGGAGGCAGGAGGGGGCTATGAGGTCATCTGCACTGACAGTATGTTAGGTACTCACATTAGAGCAGAGAACAGAGCCATCTACTTTATGGAACAAGCTTCCAACTGGTAACGAGGCTTGTTCTTCCAGTTATTACATTGAAAGAGCAACATCTGGCCTGGAGCCTTCCAGGGGCCAAATCCTTCTCTGCTGCAACCTTGCTGCTGTCAGCAGAGTAACACCAGGGATGAATTTGCTCATGAGAAACTAAATCAATGAGAGGAGCAAATAATTCGTGGTCCTGCTTAAAAAAAAAAAAAAAAAAAAAAAAAAAAAAAAAAAAAAAAAGATAAAAATTTTTTGCAGTGCAGGCCAGGTATCTGAGTAATAAAGAATGTCACACCTTTAATTGCTTTCCCATACACCAGCGCAGTGCATAATAAACAAGACGGATTTTTTGTTTTTCCATAATTATCAAAGGAAAGCCCAAAGCTTGCATTTCCTCTCCCTTTTCTGATTTATTTTGTTAGCAGCTAAGCCACAAGATCAGAGCAGAGACACTCATTAGGAGGGCAAGGCTGGGAGAACATCTAACTGGTTTCTCACCTCCTATCTGAAGTCCAATAAAAAATAAGAGAAAGGGAAGGAAAAAATATTACATTTTTAAAGGCACTCAGTGAGCTTCAGCAGCAGCCGCAGTTTCTCGAGATTTCCATAGCTTGTTTCCAGTTATTGTAAGGTGTCCAGAAGCTATGGCAACACAGTAATAACCTCTCCATGCCTAAGAAAGCTGTCATCCTCTCAGCAAGCAGCATAATGCTGGGTATAAGGACATTACAGTGGACAAGAGAAACCCTGGAACAAACAGCTAACTGGTAGCTAAGCCAACTGCAGTAATACCCAACCCAGCTCCTTTTTATTCGTTTTCACACAGGTGTGTGCCTCGAATTTACACCAGCCAACAGAGCACACGACTCACCAGCAGCACCTGCCCCAGGGAGCCTGCAGGTGGGCAGGGTTTGCCCAGAGCTTCCAAGTCCAGCTGTAAGGGTCGGACCGACCGCTCAGCATCAGCTACTGTCTTTGCTTGCTCCGCACGGAGACGTTGCCTGAATGCTGACATTTTAACAGCACGGTCCCTTCCCTGCACATGATACGGCGCGAGGGAATAGCAGGATGTATTAATGTCATTTTAGATAATAATATTCTTCTCAGAGTGGGCTTTCTGGCACCATATGTCCCACTGTGAGAGAACTCTATCCGTATCGCTCCAGCATTAGCTCTAAGCTTGAAAGCAATCCATTTGGGCCATTAAAATGACTTGTGAAATGTGGGATAGTTATCAAGTAATTAGGACCACATTTCCTTTCTCTCCCTGTCCAGAGCTCTGCACTATGATCTCAGTTCACCTTCAGCTTTGCTTCACCTCCATCTTTTAGAAACCACTGTGAGAGCCTGCTTATTGAATGGTGGTTGACCTCCATTCCCCTGACCACACACTCTCCCCTTCTCTTTCAGCTGACAATTTTTACCCACAACATTTATCTCATGAAAAAAGAAAAAAAAAAGAAAGAAAGAAAAAAAGAGATGATCTCTGTTCAGAGAGAAGCCAAAGAAAGTTTATGAGTGGTCTATGCCTCAGTTTCCATGCCCCGTAAAATGGGAGTCATAGTGCCGCTCTGTCCCCTCTGATGGGATAGCTGCAATTGAAAGGAGTTGTCTCCCATGGCCAAGAGCAAAGCTTTTGGAAAGATCTGCTGATATAAAACTGAAGGAGGCTTTCAGAGCCATATGGCCCTCCGTGAGGTGGGGATTACCACAGGGCTTGGAAAACACGCCTGAGTACCTGGCTTTGCGATGCTGCTGGAGTCCGACGCAGGGCTGAATTCCCTGCTGGACTGCATTTCAAAGCCTTCTGCTCCTCCGCTGCAGGCTGTGCTGGAAAGGGCTGCTCACTTGGACACTGGAGGGGCTGGGATCCCATCACAGCATGCAGAGCACTTGGACAGGAGGAAGAATACCCCTTCCCACCCCCACACTTCCCCAGGGTGTACAGTCCTGGGCTGGAGCCACGAAATGAAGCCGCTCGCACCCCTCACAGATGACCTCTCCCTCGACGTTTTTTCCCCTCGTAATGCTCACAAATCCTCTCTTCCAAGCCCAGATGACCACAGCTCTGCAGGAGCCAGCAGGAGCAGCGTCTCCGTGCTGGAGATGAGCCCACAAGATGTTAATGCTGGCTCTGGCAGGAGGAACGTGGATGTGCAGCGGCTTTGTGGACGTTGGTACGGTTCATTGCTCCCGGCCACATCTCCCACTGTCAGGGCTCACCTCCCTGAATGTGAGAGAAGGGGTTTTTGGCCCCACCATAAGTCTGCTCAGGGCACCATGCTGAGCAGTCCACCCTGCTCGGGTTGCCTCTCAGGAAGACACCTCTTCCAGCTCCATCCCCCTGAGGGTTTGGCCATGATCCAGCTCTATTTCTGACCAAGAAAGTGGTATGCACAAACAGACTCAAGCTCTGTGTGCTGTTTCCCTTCCACAAGAGCAGAGGCATTGCTGCTGACGCCCAACCCTCGTTGCTACGCCACCGCCCTGTGTGGGGATGGGAGCAGACCCGAGGCCTGGCCATGCCTTCCCCTGTGGCACCGCGCAGCTCAGGCACCTCCAAACTCTTCACCCAGGCCCCAGTGTTGTTCCCCCACCTCATCCTTCCTCTGGCCCTTGCAGAGACAGGGCCACAGGAATTCTCCCCAAGGTTTCCAGGACTCTGCTTTTCCCTCAGCTGCACAGAAACCTGGCTTGGAGACTTACATCCCCCTTTCCTACTGTTCTCTCCAGAACACTGTCTCAAGCCCTCAGGGAGGCTTATTTCTCCGCAGAGCAGCGCCCTGCTGCTGTGTGCTCCTCACCACCCTTTCCCTTCTGCCTTCTGGCCCTTAAGAACCAAGTCGTTATGGAAAGCAGCAGGGCTGAGGACACCAAGTCCCAGAAGCACCTGGCTGAAGCCACTTAATGATCAGCTGGGAATGAGTCATGTTAGCAGCCCTCGCCTGAGAAACCCAGCCAGATCCCTCTACACAAGACTGAAATAGATTATAACTGACTGATTACAGACCCCGGCCAAGTCCTAGTGAATTAGAGTGTCTTGCAGGGGGATGCAAGGATAAGGGCTATTATTAGCACTGCTATTCATTATTTGGGTAGTGCTCCCATTGTCTCAAGTGCTTTCTGAATTGTCGGCAAGACAGTTCCTGCCCCTCGCACATCGAATTGCTGGGATCCAAGGGTGTGACTGGAGATGAGCTATGAGCTTTGCGCTGGCTATACTAACACTCGTTTGGCACACAGGGGTGAACCGGACCATTGGTTCATCCTGAATGGAGACAGCCCAAAGCTGAGAATTGCCACAGCACTTCTCTCACCGCCAAGGAGAGGCTGCTACCAAGTGCAGCAAGGTGGGAGCGGGAGGAGGACGAAGTGTCATCTCTGACGTGAGGTACCAAAGGCAGTGCCACAAAGGCTGGAGACTCGGAGCCTGTCTACTTGAGCACATTTTCAGCTCTGAAATTCTGGGAGACAGCAAGGAGGAAGGGGAGGGAGCTCTGAGCTGATGCTGATGGCTTTCTGCTTCTGGTCTGGAATGACCTGACTCCGGTTTTGCTCAGCAACCTGTCTGAGCTGTGAAAATGTAGAAACTGGAGTGAAATATCTCAGACAGGTAAATGCTGAAAAGTTCTGGAGCATCAATCTGTTTATGTAGACCTGGGGGCTTACTGGAAGGCAGATAAAGCTGCCCCAGACCTGGCTTAGGCTCACAAGCTGAAGGGAAGGGGAGCAGTTGGGTCTCGCTGAGGTACAAGCCCAACTGTGCTGCACAGTTCAGCTATGTAGTCACCAGGTTTGGGGAGTATTTCATGCTGCTATCTAACACCCTGTTCAAAAAATCACTGTTTTTCTGTGGGAATCTCAGCTTCCCCTTGCTGAACGAGGGGGTGGAAAATATGACCCAAGCGTAACCTAGAAATTAGCAACACAGAAGGCAAATAAAAGCTTATTTTTAGGACTCTTGAGGGGTAGGAAGGAGAGATGACTGGTCCTTACAGCTCCTCAGATGAGCCCTGGTATCTCTCGGCTCCTCGGCAGTGGTGGCGACATGTCTAGACACTCTGGGAAACATTCAATCAGGAGAATGAAGAATGGGTCCTGCTGTTAGGAACAATGCAAGAAGAACAAAATGCCCCAGTTTTATTCTGTGCAGCTGTCTTTTAAAAAGACTATTAGGTCACTGAAAGTTTTAGTAACAGCAAAAAATAACTCAAAAAAACAACAAAAAATTGGAAATGAAACTGTATATATTTTTGGGAAATTGCTTTTTATATTTTAATAGGTTTCCCTTTCAACTCTTTTCCAGCTGATTTTTTTTTCTTTGAATTCTGTGATTATTAATGGCTGTAGCACTAATGTGCTTGGAAAAAGCTCATTTAAGAACCATGTTTTTTGGATTAGAAAATATCTGAAAGATATTTTTCTTTTCTTCAGCCAACAATTGCCCAGTTTTCCCAAGCTGACTTTATTCCATGCCACAGCACTGGATACTTTGGAGCAAAACTCGGCTTTGAAGATAAGCAAGTGAAGAAGCCTGTTGCAATGTGGTCATCACTTTTACCATACCGCTCTGTCACTGAAGAACCAAACCGTTATTTTTTTTTCAAAAGTGGAATCCAGGAGTTGTGGAATGAGCTGTGGATAGACACAGACGTGGTTTGTCTATCTGGAGCGTGTGTTGTGGTGGCTGAGAGTTCCGCCAACCAACTTTCTTTGCAAAAGACCTGTGGGGTTCCCAGCAAGAGGAAAGAAGGCTTTGCCTGCCAAACCATCTTCAAGACATTTCTACATCGTTGCTGGAGGGATGCGGAGGTGGTTCCACACAATATAACTCCTCAACAAGAAAAGCCACAGCTAACACAGAGGCAAACCACTGGGGAAATGAAGTAGCAGTTTCTGCGCGCCCAAACTCGGCATCCTTCCACTGCCCTGGGTTGCACTCCAGCCCAGCATTGTCTGCCTGGATTGCCCAGCTCAGGGGCATGCAAACCATGCTCTGTTGCTCACTTTAGATGTGCCCTGATGTCTCCCAGCTGGAAAATTCAGCCCAACTGTGCTACAGGTCAATGCTACCCGGTGGCATTGGCTTCATTTTCAGAAAGGAAGCTCAGAGTAGCCAAATTCTCAACTATGCTGAGATATGCTCGGTGTGGAAGAAATGCATTACAGTGGCCTGCAGGCAGATTCC